GTTTCTTCGCAGTTTTTATTTCATATTTCATCGCTGTGTTAATTTGGCGTTACAGCGAAGAAGGGATAAAATACAGCTTTCAATAATTTCTGGAAAGCACTGAAATACTGTATTGGATAATTCAAATGCTAATTTGCGATAATACTTTACATTGGTTACTTACAGCAAGAATTGATTACACCACACTCTGGAACAGATATAATTGGAGGAATGATACGTGACATAAAACCATGGTATTTTGAAATATGCAGTAGATAGGCATACATATAAATATGCAAATGTGAATCATTTTAATATGATCTATGAAAAATTTGAAAAGCCATACCATTTGTTAAAGTATAAGGGACCTATATCCTATCGTACAGTGCACTCCTAAAATAACGTTCATAGTAAGTCCAAATGATATTGAGATATACTTTCGTTCTATTCGTGCATGTACGGGTAAAATACCGTATAGGCAGGTAATTGAATAACAGTTATAGCAAAATTTATAGAACTTATTTATTAGAGACTATTCTATGCATAGTATACAGCATAGAGTATACTGTACAATGTACATGAATGTTAATTGAGATTATTTCAGACAATTAAGCCAGAAATCGTAATGCTGACCAGTTAAGTACTGTAAATCTATGTAATCTATTTCGAAGTACTCGAATATTAGTGTTATTCAATCGACATTTTATATGTATTAGGCCTTATTGTGGTATCCCTTAATGTCGTTCTCATCGAATATCATTGCCGTATATGCCTACACACGAAGCTAAAGCTTCGCGGATAGTACATGCTGTATTGTCTACTATCTGTGTCTTCATGCGGTATATATGGTTTCAATAATTAGGATTAGAATTAATCAATGAAGGAAAAGTGATAGCTATATCTGGTTGCGAACATGTCATAATAAGTATTGAGTAGGTAGGGATTGGGTTTATGTACGCAATGCCACCTCATGTATGGAGTTGCTGATTGTCTGGGGAACAAAATTCCTGTTAAAATTATACGTCTAAGTGAGCCGCTTTTACTATAAAAACAATATTTTTACTATTGTATATCAATTTCTTACTACTATTATTGTTGGCAATATCTGCTGTTAGGCACAAGTCGTGATGAAATTAATAACGAATATTAAGTGTATTATATATTTAGTGTTTTTAACATGTATTGCAGTGTCGTTGATTTGACAAGTCTGGTAAAATAACCACTCGTATTACCGAACGATCATAATCATGATCCGTTCTTCTATAACATAAGCATAGCAATATACTGATCAAGATCTTGACTCTACTTAAGCCTCTTCAATACTCTCAACTATGTACTGACGATCATTTTAAAACAAGGTCCACTTTGATATTGGAGTTTCTATTGAGGAAATAATCTGTGCGAACTTATAAATACCCTTTCGTCTAAACGATCACCTTGTACACTATGGTCTACGATATTACTGTCAACAATACAGTACCATAATCCATGAACGATGTATGTGTCAGAAATGTATATCACAATACTCTATCTATCTCGAAATATGTCTATAAATTTGCATTGTCCTTAAAACGGCGTAGATATACAGTATGGGTTAAGTTGACAATGATGATTAATTTACTTAGTTGTAGTAGCTTTTGGCCCATAGGTTGACAACTTTTAGGCGGTGCTATACATATGGCACAGAGCAGTCCTACGTCAGTATTAGTAAGGAGCCATTGATTACTAAAAATGTCCTCGTCTTGTGCAATTTCATCGATTCAAAGAGCTATTCGCGGTTACCCTACTTGGAATTCACTTTATTACAATTTTAATATTGGAAACGCAGTATTCCCGCTCTGTACTGTAAATTTATTCATTTGTAATACACAAATCAACTTGGAATATGCATAACTTCTTTGAGTTCTCGTTTAATTAACTTGGGTAATCAAACTACAAATTGGGCGGGTTAAAAATGACTCTTATTTATCTGATCCTATGCGGTACTGTAAGTTAGCGTACTGTTCAAACATGCAAGCATTGATATTACTTTGTTGTCATTTACTATCAACGATTAATAGTACTATACTCACAAGAGCATATGATCTTTGACCGTGAACCGTAATGCCCTTATGTATCACAACTAGATTACCACCTTCCTCCTTGACAAAATTGACATAATTCTACGTAGGAGGTAGAAGAGCTAGCTAATATTTATATTACTATATATATATGATATTTCATTTTAATAATTCTATGTAATGGAAGCGTATTATGAATAATATGCTAGGTTTTTTTGCTTTACTGATAACACTTACTGCATTGGAGAACTGTAATTAATTGTAGAAAGAATCGGCAACGAAATGGTGCTGTACAAAGAAATGCTATTGTAGTATGTAACGCATATTTCTAGTAGTCTATCGTACAAATCCAACTTTTTACACTTGAAGGATAATTAGACTCGATAAATACTCAGTGGTTAATAGTGAAATTCAAGTGGTATTTTGGCATTGAAGACAGCCTGTCGCCTGGTACTACGGTACAATGAAAATATACTTCATCAATTAGTATTTCGAGGGATCTTTACAATGATGCTATTATTTCATTTTCGTTCACTATGCTGCATTATCACTGGGTAATGCGATACATGCATAGTTCTGATGCGCACTGTACGTTCGATGTTGAGATATTTGTAATAGTAGAATTTTGATATCCGATTTTATTTTCATGGGTAAAAATAGCAGATTGAGATAAGCAAACTTTTACTTTGCCTTCAATATCATCAACGAAGGGCAATTTCGAGCGTACAGTATATGTGGTTTTACCACATTCATAGTTTGCAATGCCCATTTCCGTACAGTTAAAGCAGTATCCATGAGCGCCTCAATTGCCTATCGACCGTATCTCCCCTATCGTAGTATTCAACATTGGATATTGGATTGGATTTGTCATCTTGTTAGCGACATACGACTCGTATGCTATTTTAATTTAGAATGTTGCTGTAGAGCAAACAAATGAATGAATGAAGCCTTTGCTGTTTGAATGATGACAGCAACTCCCCAGCTCACAATCTGTTTTGGTAGTGCATGAATCGTCCCTTGAATTTTTTATTACGGCCATCAGAAGTTTATTTTTCATCAAGACAGCTGCCAAGGGCCGCGACAAGATGATTGAAAAAGAAGAAGCTAGTGAGGCATTTTGTTACTAGTAAGTTTGATATCACTCTTCTCTCTTTGGTACTTCAACTGCTGTACGTATTGTACCGTGCGAGCCTACATTGTCTACAATACTGTACGCTGTCCGTATCCAAGGCGTCCATCAATCTTTCTTTCATCGACATTGCCTTCCCCGTACTGTACTGTTACAGTATTTTCAAAGTTATTGTGTTGGAATATGACAAGCGATGTGGCTTGTCGTTAGCCTAAAATAAACTTGATCTCTATTTCAAGCAAATACAGTATAGCATCGGACATCGGAAATTCAGTAATGTGCGATTGGTTGATCATTAGCATTGGTAACCCCAAATTGGCAACATTGTTTAAATTATGTTTTCTTTCAATACAGTACAGTGGCAAGAAGGGATACTCGTGTACGCCAAGACGAGTCCACTTGATTTAACCATGGCGTTGACTGTTTTTGTTGGTTATGTTTGTAGTCAGAATTGCAGGTGTCATTTTAAATTTGATGTGATTTGTTATTCATATTCTGATTGAAGTTGGCGTAATACATACGGACACGCTTTTGGTCCAATCTTAGAGTAACTCGACGCGGTAGTGACCATCATACATACTGCTGTGATGGACGCTCAATGTAAACATGACAATATAGTACCACGGACTTGAGAAAGTAGTACAGGTACTAGACAATCATCCACTGGTAGTCACGATGGGACCGTAAGAAGTTGGCAAACTACGAACTTTGATACGGTGACACACAGTAGGGAATAGTCGGCATAAACTACAGTATGTACAATGTTCTGACATGGAAGTGATGAGGAAATGACTAGGATCGTAAAGTGCTACATTGGACCCTCTGCTTGAGCTTCCACTCGAACTTGATCATGCATGCCCAGTAGTGTACGTACGCCTGTGAATGTTGACGATTCGTACTGTACTGTACTGTCATTTAAAAGAAGTGGAATTGCGATGAAAATTATCAAAAGGACATCTCTGAAGTATTGGCCAAGTAAACGTTGCCGTAACTAGGCATTTTATGATTGGATTGAAGAAATTCTACTGTACTGTAGTGTATTGTAGTGTGCTGTATTACTGTACGTCCAGTACTGTCCAATTGCAGCAGGCTACATACTGATGCTGTCGTGGATTTCGCTACGATACGCGCAAAAAAAGTTGAAAGCCAATCGCGACTCAAATACTGTACAGTTCTGTACAATAGTTGATACTGTAGTTTATAGAGTGGACAGTGGTTTGCATTTGGGCTGCACCCGCAGATGCAATTATTAGTGGTTTCACACTGGCACGGCAGTCAAATCGAACATTTTAAAATACACACTGTACCATAGAGGGCAACAATAGAGTAAGTCTTTGGTGAATAAGAGCATAAGTACTTCATCGAATAGGGTGGGAGTTCTATTGTCTTGACGCTAAATACAATCCTAGTCCAATACCATTGGTCAATTTATCTATTATACCGTCACATTTGACCAATAAGAAACACGGACAAGTTTTCCTGCCTGCCAGTGCGCAGTAGCATAAATCTGTCGATCAATCAAAAAAAAATTCGTTTTCGCGTTTTTTGTTGTATGCTGGACAGGCTGTACTAGGGTCGTTAGCAATTTTTTGAGGAGGTTAAAACGACTGTGTGTGTGTATGTGTTTACATCAAAGAAGGTGGCTCAACACAGTTTCTGACAAAGGAATCGTTGTACGTGTTGAATTTAGGCCAGCTTATATTTTCTCAAGTAATTCCATCGATCGCTACGTTTAACTTGTGTGTGAGAGTGGTAAAAAGAATCCCATTGAACGCCAACAAGAAGGAAAAATGGATAACTCTAGCGATTTAGGGCCACAGCGAGCCCGATGCATGACATGGCCACTCCCACGACCGGACTTCGATGAAGATGCCACGAAGTCTGAAGAGCAGGAACAAGTTCAACGCGAGCAGGAAGGTAGCTCACGTAAAAGTTCAAGCCGGCGTAACGCATGGGGTAACTTCTCTTATGCGGATTTAATTACCAAAGCAATACAATCATCGCCGGAACAGCGTTTAACTTTATCTCAAATATACGAATGGATGGTTAATAATGTAGCCTACTTTAAAGATAAAGGTGAAAGCAACTCATCGGCTGGATGGAAGGTTAGTCAGCCATGATTGCGGCCTTTTGTTCTACATTCATGTTTTATACGTACACTACCGTGCGCCTGATTATATTGTTCGCACAATGTGTTGTATTACCTATGACGGGTACTACGGATCGATCTGGTACTCTACTACAATTGATGAAGTTGTAAATTAAGCTTGGAGTCAGTTTTCGTATTCAAAAAAGGCACTGAATGCTATTGGTACTTTATACACCATTGCCTTCTTCATAGTCCATCAGAAAATGAATTTGATATATCTTGTTAAAATTAGCCCAATTCTCCACTGATCAAGATAAGTTGATTGATCGATGTGGAACAGTTGGACTATCTTTTTCTACTTCGTTATGATACAGTACAGCAGTATGGGGGACTACAAGCAGTTGTCATTCTATTTCTTGGCAGGGTGCGATGTACTTCACTTTTTTAGTGTTGTTAACTCGTTTCAAAGTACACTCTTCATGTATTTCTTATTGATATTACAAAATATTTCTGAGTAATAGTGGAAGAAATGGAGTGATAGAAAAACTTTTCCAGTTATTGCACTATAGCCTATTTGAAACTCCGCTAACGACGGACGTCGATATATTGTTTGGCGTACAGTAAAGTCCAGTTTAGTCGATGTGGCGATCATTTTGGTTATACTTTTGACGAACGTTATTTTCATTTGAACGAGGCTTCAAATTACTTGATGATACCATATAAAGTATGTGCTACTGTTTGGGTAGTGTGCAATTCGCTAGTATAATTCTACATTTGCCTACTACAGTAATGTCGAGAACACCTCTATTCGACGCTACTCTACTATAGTGGATGTCGATACTTTACAGTACCCTAGATGCTGATACGCTTTGTACTGTACTATCCAACGTACAATAATATGACGCCAAAAAAAATGGAGTGAAGAAAAAAAGGCAGCTTTGAAAGTAGACTACAACTAACGACTATTTTCCCTAAAATCACTCTATGACAACCAATGAATCTCTATTTTATTGTAATATACTTTATTATACTCCTATTATTGGTAATATATTTTTTCCGATAGCATTAGATTCACTTTAGTGCTATCTTCCACTTGATTTAGATATTATTTCAATCAGCGTTTTCATCCACTTTACAGTATGCAACATTACACTGTAGACTACAATAGTACAGTTGTGTAGGGGGAAAATGGACCAATTTCCAATTTGGATGGAAGACTGTTATGATACGAGTTTATATTAATTGAGATGTTGTACTAGTTAAATTGTTAACGTGTTTCGCTGGATAGATTTGCAGCCTACATAAAAAACGGCAGATGTCTTGAGCTTTCTTTTGCCAAACATAGCCTGAGTACAGTACATTACAATGCAGTATACTGTATCATTTTTTTTCAACTGTATGGTTGCCTTACTAGATTCTTCTTTGTTCCTTACTGTATTCTAAATGACAATAACCTGAGCAAACGTCAGGCGAACTTTCTTTCTTTTTTAATTTTCTCTCCCTTGTACGCTATCTATTGCGACCAATCTCTGGCTATAGAGCATAGAATGTCATGTTTTGTTATTTTTTATTGTCCTCTTATTCGCCCTTTGATCGTGGCTATCTTATACTGAGTCATAGAACAGTTATGCCGTAACGAAAGTTCCGACTCTTTTTTTATCCTTGTGGCTATGATGTCCGCTTGATTTCTTGTTCTTGTTCTTCCTTATTGTCTTAACACCTTGAAATGTATTTTCCATTTTTTCTTTTTTTTTAATTGCAAAATATCTAAAAAATTCCAATGAAATAACTCTCCCCCTTGTATCAAATTGCCTTTCTATTTGTAGAATTCCATCCGTCATAACTTATCTCTTCATAGTCGTTTTGTACGTGTCCAAAATGAAGGGACTGGTAAAAGTTCTTGGTGGACATTAAATACCGATGCTAAGCCTGGTAAAGCAACACGAAGAAGAGCTGGTAGTATCGATGGCGTTGCACGACGTCGTGGTAGAATGAAGAAAAGTTTAAAACCTATTAGTGACACTACAGACGAAGGAAGCGAATTAGGAACACCAGGCCTTGCCTCGCCCGGTGTCAAAACTCAACCACAAATTTGGGCACGTCGAGATTCTGATTATATACGTGGTGATCGTACACCAGATTCCAATGAGTGCGAATCACCAGTACGTTCTCGTACTGCAAGTAATGCTTCATCTTGTGGTCGGCCATCACCAATTATACCAAGTGACTTAGAAAGTATCCCGACTATACCGTCCATGTTTCAGGAATACGCCCATAATGAATACCTACCTCGTAATAATAGTAGCGGCAATAATAACGAGTTGGTTGACAATTTCGATTCAATGATTATACGATCACCTTATAGCACTGATGGGTCATTTTCCTCGATGATGGAAAATGGTATTCCAAGCGGTGGCACTTCATTACGTACGCATCACAATCCAGGATATTCTGTACCACCGAATCAGCAAATAGGTGGTTTACGTTCACCTCGTGATATCCATTCAATTTCTAGTGGTGGTTATAACAATAATCAACAACAATTTAATCTTCAACAAAAAACGATGCTGATGCAATCGCATCAGCCTCCGAACTCTCATACAGCTCAACATCAACCGCATATTTTTGATCATTTGGAACATCATCCATCTCAGCAACAACATCAATTTCAACATCATGATGCATACCCGCACCAAGGAGCCCATAATCAACCTGGTCATATGGGGATGACACATGAATCAACTGAATTATTCAGTATGTTACCTTCAATGAATAATAATGTAAGAGACGACTTTTGTAATGATGGTACATCGATGTTACAAGATTATAATACTATGGGACCAAATAATTATTCATACAACAATCCTGCTGCACAACAAGCAGATTTATTTTCCACACAATCGTATCAAGGCCAAGGACATGATATCAATGAAATGGAACAAATGCCCATGATAGCAAATAGGCATCAACAACAGAATTTAAACCAAGTCAATATGACGAATTTACATCAACCAATGATGCATTCTAATATGGCACAACAACATCAGCCACAACATAGGCAGCATCAGCAACATCATGGTATTAATCAGTTTGATGCATTAAACGACAAATTACCTAATGATGAAGAAGAATTTGATTTGTTTCATCATAACATAGAATATGATAATATGCCTAATGAATTAATGCATGATAGTGGTGTTTTACTTGATACACCAAATAATCCCTTACTACCGGTGTCATCGATGCAAAGTGTATCAAGTAGACCAGTAACAACAACACAGCAATAAGGAAAATTTTGTGCTAACGTCTTATATCTGACTTAAAATTACCTTATGACAAGAACATGATTTGTGGATTTGATTTTAAGAACATTATTAGGGTTAAATTCTTATTTAGCCTTCGATATAGGTACAGCTTTCCATTTTGAGCCCTCGTCAGATCTAGATTTTGATCTATTTTCTACAGTGCAAGATGTAGTACTTATAGATTGTGTGCGATTAAGAATCACATTGTACAGGAGACAATTTTAGTAATGATAACAGGAGCTAAAGATGCCATCCTATGACGAAGAATGTAAAGACGTAACTAAATGTCCAGTTAGCTGTAAAAAGTATTTGATTATTGATATTTCCTTTCCGACGGCCATTTAATGATAATACTATAAAGTAGTCGCTGAGAAAATAAATTTTTGTTTTTGTAATAACACTACATTACATTATTAAACACTTGAGATGAATAGTTTACTAGTGCACTAGACAGTATGTTTCGTATGCTTTTATTATCGATATATCTAATAGTTCGCTAAAGCAGAAATTGACGAGTGTGCCCTTGATTTAATTTCAGAAATTACAATTTCACTCAATGATTACGCCTATTTCCAATACTGCTTACATTATTAACCGTTGTGGTATTATAATGTACACGATGACTTCTATTATATACTATGTAAGTGTACTTTACCAGGATAAAATGTGGTAATGTACATGACTGCGGTAGATGATAATTTATTATCATCTTATTGTATTATTACAATTACAATATTATTACAAGTCCTACAATGATTTAATATAACGTATCTTTAACTTTAATGGAATATTTTACTGTAAATAGGTAATACTATACTGTACGTATTCGCTATTGCCAAAATTTTTTGTTTTGGTTGTTTTTTGAGTAATACTGGCATGGCGACAGCTATGTGTATTATAAATACGTATATATACATTTCCATGTATATGAAGATATATATTGATATCTCATATATATATATATATATATATGTAACTAGTAAAAATTTGACTTTACGAAATGCAGCAGCTTTGTTCCTAAATTTATTATCGATTACTGCATACAAAATTATTTTAAAATTGCATCTAGCAGTAGAACTGAACTGAAAATTTAACAGCCTTACTATATACGTTAGTGGAAGAGAGTATAGGATATAGTTATATGTTAGATACAAGAATTCCATGTATCATACTGTAAATGGAAGCTAATTACTTGATATTATGAATCGGTCAATATCTTACCAACGTTATTACTCTGATCTGTTGCTTGCCATGCTATTATCTTTTTGCTTGCTATGCTATTGTCTTGTTTTAATGGAATATCATGCTTCCTATTAGACAACTTTACGCATACTTTAAAACGAACTTTATTACTGTATGTTGATAAATTTGATTGCTAACTGTCAGTATAGCACACTGGTTACTATTGTACATTATCGCACAAGAAAACCTGTGTACTGAACTATGATGGAAATAAGGAACGCTATCAAATATCTGTCTATTGATTGTAGCGAAATAGTTTATTGCACATAAAATTGTCAGCAATGTAATCCATCTAGTATTGTACCATCCGTTAGACATATTACTCGTGTATACTAGGTGCAATATGCAGTGGCAATGCTCTAGATCTTTATTATGTTCGTCATTATTTTAGCCTTATGTAATGTAATCTGTGATGATAGTGTATTTCTGATGGGTAAAAATAATTGCTATTATTAACTAGTACTGTAGCAAGTAAAGAATTTGATATAGCCGGATAATAGTATAGAAATTTGCTATGTATGATTCGGATTTGACAAATTACGATATTTCATATCTATTAATGGATGATGTAACTATGCCTGTGGTAGCTATAGTACTCATCTTTTGTTCCCTTGATAAGAAAGTGATCAAAACGGATGTATAATTAAGTGCATTACTGACAGATTGATACCGTAGTCACATTAACGAATGGATCAATGTAACTTATTCCGTGTCATGTCCCAAGTGCTCTCTTCTATTTATGATAATAAAATCAATCAACTTATGCCGATATAGCAACTGACTGCTTAAATAGTTGCTATCAAGCTAAATTTAATATCCTTTCATCAGACTTGCAATTTTGGTATTTACTAGCGTAGTTCCATCGATCGAAGTAGTTGATCTGCAGTCATCAGCATCATATACTACAGTAGTTTCACTTACACTAATTTATTCTTTTGACGAAGTACTAATATGAATATATTGTGACTACTGTATGAAATACTGTACACCAACAGTATTGCTACTACTAATGCCAGATTTGTATTAACTAAAATCAATATGGCAAAAACTATATATCGAAAATCGCCAATTAGTCAGTTTTTATGTGATTACAAGGCGTAAATCAGATTAGAGAATGTATGTAATTACTTACAATAGGATCTCTTGTAATAAGTTGCTGTAATTAATTAATTATCGGACAGCGATAAAGTAGTCAAACTGGGATAAATCAATAATTAAGCAACTAATATATTACCGGATGTTGCATTGTAATCAGCTGGTTCCTATTTTAGCTGTAACTCATTCACCTTCACATCGTATATTACAAATGTTCAACAATAATGACAATTCCAAGTAGCAATTATCTCACTAGGTGATAATTAATAATATCTGTTGCGCTGTTCTATATCTGATGCCTATTTACTTATGCTCTAATTCTGCTGTAGGGTCCTCTCGCTAACTTATATTACTTTACGGAATTGGAGAATAATTTACTAACATCATTCAATATGAATAGCTGTTATGAAAGAAACTTTGTATTTTACAGTTGATCCATTTACGTTATAACTACTGTACAATTATTAAAGAATACAGAGCAATAACTGTCGCACTTTGTAAGTTGTCGAACACCATGAATATGAAGAAATTTGGTAAAACGGATGATGGTTAGAATTAGTGAGCTTCGCTTTTACGAAGAATTAGGTCTAAATAGCGTCCGCAGTTCCGGAACAAAATACGTATAATATGATTAATTTTTTGTAGGTCGATTGTCTTTTTTGTCGTCTTACGAAATTCAGTCTTTTATAATTCATTGTTACTCGTATATAGGATAAGAAAGGTCATTTTAATATTATGCAGTTCACGACTCAGAGTCACGCTATACACAGAAGCAGAGTTCAATAACGGGTAACGCCATTCGTAGAAACAATAATGTAAAGAATTCTACCATACATTAAAATCGTACATTATCCAAATGCCAGCTTAAAAGTGCTGTTAATATATCAATGCTATTGCACTCTATTATGAGTACTGTAGCTGTAAATTTACTAGCCCAAAAGATACACTTCATTAATGTAACTAGAGTATCTAGCATTGCATAGAAAAATGGCGCGAGTTATATCTTAATGTACTGTAAATATAAACGGAATTCTTACCGCACTAGTATATGCTTCCATAGAAAGTTATTGTTAATCACTACCTACTGGTTTGTGCATCAGCCAATCTTTCTTTATACGTTATTTTGTAGACTTGAAATTATTAGTATTGATTCCTGATGAAATGCAATAAAAAATCCTTTATTAAGGTATTTACTGAGGCTATTGGCTGCACATTTCATTCGGTACATGATCATTTTTTACATTTTCACTAATCTATTGCATAGCAGATTATCAGTTTATTTAATTTAATAAACTCGTATTTAAAGCATAAAGTACATAGGAAAGTACTAATACATTAAACGGCTCGAAAATCGATACCGATGACATCAATTCTAGAACAATATCGTATAAGGAAAATTCCTGATATATCGTTGTACTATCATGTTGAGTCTATTGCAATGCAATCCTTTAATCGGAACCCCATCGCAGTTTGTGAGAACAGAAACTATCATCGGCAACATTATAAGGGCACCATATTTTATGCATTAACTAAATCATGATGATTGTCAGCTCTCTGCGAGATAATATACTAAACTATATGGTATTCCGCCGGGAATCCTTAAAAAATTTTTTTTGAATTCTATGAACATAATCTCTCAGGACTACAGATTTCCTATGAAATCATTTACTACGCCTCATCGCAAAAGGAAATTATTGCCATTTCGATGAAATAACTAATTATAGTTTTACTGTTAAAATTATTATATATCGATGAAGATTATCACCCAAAGGAAACTACTGGAATTACTTTGCTAATAAATAGTATAGACACAGCACACAGATTATGTTGCTTTTAGACTAATAATTAATTCTTAATTAGATTTACTTCTATATCTGCTAACCGATCAATTATTATGTCAGCTGAAAATTGAATCATTTAGCATTGCATGCTGTAAATTGTCAATTAGAATAAAGCATAGGTGCGTTGATTAGATACTGAAATGTATGCTTTTACTACCACATACTCTGCACAGTCGGATTAAACATGGTAGGGATATCAAACCTTATTCAGAGAATCATAACTATTTCTATAGGTTGTATTTATAGGACATTGATATTTATTTATACTGCATGCGTATGTAGGATGTGTGGTACATTTGATGCTGTTGAGAATAATGAAATTTACGATGTGAAACATTGATAGCCGAGATACGAATAAATGCAGTTGTATTTTTTTAGACCCGTATATGTTAAGGGGGCCTATGCCAGTAAATGTGGATCCTTCGATCAATATTAATCATTATTAATATATACGTTCCGGTCATTCTTAAAGCTGATTTCATACTTAGGAATGGCCGGAACATATATATTGTATTTTAGCTATTATATACTGCCTAATATAGTACAGTAGTTATTTATTGGCTTATTTTACAATACGTATTTTATCTTCTTTGCACAATTGTACAATATACTGCTCATAAAGTTACTATTAATACAGTGACATTTTATTGCATGAAAAAGTACAGTATGAAAAGATATCTAAACGAGGAAGGCTACAAAGTGACTCCCAAAAATTGGTCATGAGGCAGAAATGCTCTCAATCTACTCCTCCAACTGTTTTATGTAGCCTATGACTTTAGATACTACACAAGTTTCGTCAATGTTTTACGAACTCATCATTTATAACTAAATATGACAAATAGTTTTGTGCTAGAGGCATCAATGAAAACGAATAAAACATATTTTATCGAAGATACAACTATTCGATTAAAAGCACGTTCACCTTGGATACAACGTTGTGCGGTGTAAAAGCCAAAAACTAAGTTACGTAGTATACTAGATTTTAAGAAGAAATCAGGTATAAAATAGCGAAAATGGGATCCTTATTATGCTTTATTTATATCTTAAGAGTGATAGTTTATTTAATTACGCGCACAGCAATAGTGACTCAATTGCCAAGAATATTATCCTTCAGTAATAAATAGAGTAAGTTCATACTTATACCTGATTATAGTTTAAAGGGTACAAATTCTAATTTATAACTAGGTGAGATGAAAGTAGTACTGTATCGGCGCATCTGATTCATTTTATTAGCCGTTGATCCATTAAAATGACTAGAAAAATACCGTCCATTCGGCTTATGATTGCTTTTAACTCTAGAACTTTATCTAAAATAGCTCATTTAAGCACGCGTGTAAATATAAATTAGCAGCAATGAGCTTGCACTTTATTCATGATTTTGACCGGCTCAATTCATCCATCCGTAGTCAATATAAATCAATAGCATTGCACTGGCGAATGGCTCTATAAAATTATAACCTTCATCGTTGCTTTTTTTCCCTTCTTCCCTCCTTAGATAGCTACGCAACAGCAATACGATATCGTCCCGTGGATTCTTTATTATTATCTGCTAATAAATAAATAAATTGAAATTGTTTAATATCGTTCCGTCCCTACCTAAGCTTATGTTGTATTCTAACAAAAGATGTTGAGGTACGAACATGTGGGCGTCACTCTCGCTTGGTTGACGTGCAAATAGCTGACGTATATTTTCCCTATGGCTTTTTAATGTTATCTTCTGCTAGGTCAGAGAAAATTTCTCTTCTGTGAAATTTTACACTGCCATTTTTTTTTTCAATGAAAATTTGAAATCCTTTAAAGTTCTTGGTAATGAGTGATTTCTTTTTCCTTGAATGGCTGTGTTATCCAATCTTTTAGGGGGAGATAAACCCTTATTAAGGTTTCCAATGTTTGCTTGTCAATAAATTGATTCCGTTGATTAATAGGTAATAGGTAATGTAGAGGTTAGCAGAATTAAGGATGGAGAACAGTATTGAAAATACTCTTATGAAAGAAATTTCCACCATTCTAGGTAAGTTATTATTATTTTTATTATGAATAGAAAATATTGAAATAGGCCCTCTTCCATTTTATTGTGGCCATAGTTTATTTATCTAATAGTATTTTAATTCACTTGCTCGCTCTTAATATTTACTGTAGTCAAGTAGTATACGCTGAACTAATCAATTTGCCCATTTCAACCTTGTTGCGTCGTAGTACTAATTAGGTTAAGTGGGTGTTAAAATGAAGTGAAGTATGAGAACGAATTGTTTTTTGCTCTACAGCTAAAACTACTCTACAAAAAATAGCATTTAACTCAACTGATAAAAAAGGTTTATATTCGAAGTGTTCTTTCTGCCTTCTCTCTTTGATAACTGCTATTTATCAGCAAACTGAAAAAGATGTCTATATAAAAGCTTCAAATAGAACTTAGTGTATGTCTACACGTGACTGCTGTTGTCTTTTCTGTAGTCTATTACTAGGCAAAGTATTGTACGTTTTCGCGAAAAAAAAAATTGTCGTATACAATATACTTGCTGATAGCAATTTGCAAGAAATGACGAAATGTTCCTCTATAATAGTAATCATTTTAATAATACTCCTTTTCGGCATCATTTGTTAGAACAGTGTCGTTCAAGATGTAGTAGCAATCGATACGATTCGGAAAAAATTAAAACTTAATTACAGTCAGGTGGAATTACAATTACGTGTTACTGAGAGTATGTTTGATGTTTATAAATATTGTATTATTTTAATTTATAATACATGTCCTTATTAAAGGAACAGCAATCGATGTAACACGTAGTGAAAACTTCGCCATTACTACATCAGGAATTATGATATCAACAATATTAAAGTCTTACAAATGGGCTTAATTTCCTATGCAGTGTAACGCAATGATAACCGTGATATTCATAGCTAGATACTCATGCAAATTTGGCCGCTGCCACAATAAAATATGAATAAGGATGTGTACTTTGTAACAATTTACGGCAAGTAATATTGTTACAACAAGATCCAAGGACTATATACTATACAAGTAAACGTGTAATTTCGCACTATAAGAATCTTATCGAGTATCCCGATATTCTTACATAAAAATGAACCCTTATTATCATAACTTAATATACGAATGAATAATTGAATAAAGCAGTTACTTTAATGCTCAATATTTTTCAATAATTCCAATGTACCAACTTTGCAAATCTTTCCACATTACCTGATATACATCCATCCTTGTACAGATAGCATAGAGTGTATTTTGAGATAAGCTTTCAAATATATTTAGAGGCCATTTGCTGATTTCTTACTCTATTAATACTCTAATGTTACCTAAGTATTTTGTTTTGAAATTAACGATCCTAATGTGAGCAGTCAGTTAGCGAAGAAATGTATGTTATATGAATAATTGGTACTCATTATTTTTTCTACCTCACATAATCTTGAATAATACAAAATTATAAAAAATTGATAATAAGATGTTGGACCTTAATATCAGTTCTTGCTCATCAAAGTATAAGTAATAGAATATCTACTTCATATTGAAATTTAATGAATTCGTTATATCGTCAGCCTTCCAGATTTGTATGGTTTTAACTTTGTTCAATATAGCTGTAAATATACCGTTACGCTGACAACTATCGCCAGTAGAAATGGAGATAAAAGCGTACCTTTTATTGTTGTAATATCCGTATCAAAAATTTCTGGAACGAATTTCAGATATACATATTAAACTTATGTGGATTACATATATATGCACTAATACTATTTTTATGAGTTTATAAAATCGGCTAGATCTTAAATCATATCAGCCGTTTTCTTTTTTTGATATTTTAAAGTGTCAGTTCAGCATGGAAGACAACAAGACTATAACAGTCAAATCAAGAGAATTTTAGCTACATGTAGTACAATACGCAGCAAAGCGGGAAGTAGCTGTCAAAACTACAAAGTGATTTACAGATGTGGAGTTCAACTGTGGCGTTCAATGTCTCTCGTAGCGAAAGCTGGGAACTTACCTAACGATACCAAAATTAAATGTAAGTTTAGATTTTAATTTTTAAATAATTTTCAATCATATGAATTCACGAATAAAATGTATGAGCTTACCGGTATTATGAAGAATAGATCACGGCTACATTATAAATCAGCTTTTGAAACTTATTACGGTTGATATAATTGGTAAATTACTTTTAATTATTATGAGAATGATGATGCATAAATTATATGAACTCTTGGTGCTCGCCTTTAAGTACTTACTGTACTGTCTTACCTCTAGCCATTATTTATGTAATCTAATTCATCAGTTATTTTGAGTGAAGTCTAGTAGCAAAGAATATTGAAATGCGTATCATTTTATCGCGATTTACTCCCATCGAAGAGTAATTGTACCATTAGAATAATAATTAGCTATTTAACAATAACTTTTGACATCTTATCGTATAGAAAAATACATACAGTATAAGGAAAAGATTGTTCACAATTTATGGCTGATTAACAAATTGCTAAAAATAGTTTTTCAGTGCAGGCTTACTTCACTAAAATACTTTAGGATAGCTACGGTATTATATATGACGATTCAGAAAGCCTGTAGCGGTTTATCCTTCACAGAATTTAAAAATACATCGCTATCAGAATAGCGCAGTACGAAGCTAATTCATAATTTAGCCGTTACGATAGCAAAGTTTGCAGTATAGAATGATATTCCATCAAACCTATGTATATTACTTTGAGCAAAATATTTCTGGTAGGAACTATAATTCAGTGATTGAAGCGATTTTACGGTGAAGTGTTATAAGTTAGTCTATTTTTGGACCTAATTTTATATTAATATATTCTGCTATACTGAGGTTTACCACAGTTTGTTAATAAATCGCAAGATTCAATTCGCAGTTCGATGTGCTATAAGAATAGTTTATATCATGCTGTAATCTATTTGGTTTGTATCTTGATATAGTAAGATCGGAAGCTTGCCAACTAATGATTTATTCCTTAATGAAATTACCCATTGATATATCAGTCGCAAAAGAAACTCTTCAGGTAGGTAAATTAAACGAGCAATTTATACATTCTTATGGTACAACGTAATATCTTAATAATGCTTATTGATTAGGCTCAATAATAAATATTTATCACCATCAGTGATTCATATATCATGTTTACTTTGCGTGGTATAACTATAAATCACTTTCTTTCTACAGATCACGCATAAGTGTAGCCGGGGATGGCTAGGTTATAATGCGCTCATTATTTCTCATTTTTATTCTTAATTTTTTTTCCTTTTGGTAATAAAAATGCAGTTAAATTTCATATTTTTAGACTTTGCTAGTTAATTATTATCTACAGTATATACCGCATTAGTAAATTAATTTGTTAGATGAAATTTGTTAAATTTGTTTTTACCTAGCTTTACGAAATGAAACTCGTTCTAGGGAAATGTTAGATTTGGCCGCTGAAGTAAGTCCAAAAGAGATATGTTAAAGCATTGTCTTAAAACGATTTAGAGATGTTAAATACTTAGAATAGTAACTGCCTAAAGTACTAATAACAGAATGTAAATTTATTTTTAAAATTGTAATAAATCTTTACTGGCTAGCTGTATCTGAAGTACAAATCCAAAACTAGCTGCGGTCTGAACAATCCTAAGGATGGTGTTTCATATTACCTGGAATTTCTTTCCGAAGCTATGCTAATTTACTGTAGTATTTGTGAAAATGTATGTCTGTACTTGAATGATCCAGGATCTACCATTAGGATGGTCTCGCTAAAAGTCATTTTTTTAGATTACTAATATATAGATTAGCTAACAATTACCTAATCTATTAGTAATTATTTTATCAGGCTCTAGCTAAGCGACAGTTCGATCAAGCTTTTGATTATTTTGCCAAAGCAGAGAATATAAAGAAGGATCTCCCTTGTCTGGTACCTTCTTGCTGTATTAGTAAGAGACTATTTCTACGTAAATAACAATTACGAACGACGATTTATATTGATTACATTTAGGGAAAAAAACTAGTAGCAATAAGTTACAACTTTGGAGTTGATATGTTTGATAGCCAAAACTATAAACAAAGCGTCAAGTGGCTACAGTAAGCAGAATTATTTAATCAAGCTGTATCATGGAATTTCAAACATATTTACTAACTCTACTACATTTAGGTTTCAGTTAAAAATTTTTTACCGATATTGTAAATAAATTTATTAGGAAATCTCGATACCTTGCTAAATATTTGTACGACCTGGAGGGTAGTAAGAAGGTGTTTAGGGGATACGCTATAATTCTTTCCTGAAATTTCTCTAATGTTAATTATTAGTAATGATTACGGGTACTTGACTATAATTTTTCAGTTTAGATGCTTACTAATTATTGCTTTTATATTTACCATTAGGCTAGAATATTACGTTTACTTGCGAATGCATACATTCATTGGGATATTGAAGAGTACTATGAAATGGCATGGAATGCCGTAGGTAAATTGCTGTTTCTTAATGTGGATACGATATACCAGTCTAGGTTGTTTGCATACTGAGTTATAAGTGTTTCTAATATTATCATATGGCTATGATGGATCACTATCCAATTTGAATCCTTACTCAAATTTTATTATAGAAGATGCAAATAATGTATGTTATACTTCTAGGTCATTTCCGACCTTTATCGTTAGTAGCATAGTACATTGTTCGGATTTCTATCAATGAATTTTCTAATTACGAGAAACAATTTGTTGCAAAGTGAAACTATGCTTGATTACTTATTTCGTATCACAGTTACATTCTCATCCTTTTGGGTTTTACTTAAAATTGAAGCTTTTATTCCAGCGTAATCACGCTAACATTAAAGAAATTCACTCCAGTAAGCTGTTCAATATGCTAATCTTTGAAGAAATAATTTTTTTATGAGCCTAATGATCGATTTAGTAATTAATCATTAACTGGCTAATGTAGTACTTAACATATTTGTGTGCTTGTCTTACAAAAGCTGTTGAGTTGGCATTTAACCTTCCAGATATGACAATCAATATGGGGCTCAGCTTTTTGGAATTAGTGAAGAGTCACGACAATTTGTTAGTATACTAATTAATACAGTACTTCTCTCGCTAAATACTGTTACTTCATTAAATTTTTATGTAAAGCGCCTAGATCTTGCACTTTGCCTGTAGTACCCACTGTATGTTTGCAATCATACATCTTCATGAAATGCTTTTGCTATTGTACGGCATGGTAGTATGATCGTAGATAGTGTGTAACCAACTCATTAAAATAGATTTTTATAAATTATATCTTGATCCTATATTATGATAGGTATACTGTTGCCAATGCGATACTTCGAATGCTCTGTATCAGATTTGATAGTTCGATGAAGGTTATAATGGTAAAAATTGCTTTATTGGTACGTCTTTATATGTATATTGAATCTGAAATTTCAAATGTTAATCAGCTCTTTAATATCAATAAATCAAATTTGCTGATGCAATGATCTAACTGTTGGTATTTACATGTAATCGCAATATAATCTATACTTGCCATTTAGGAACGTCTTATTAACGGAGGAGAATTACATGAGGCAAAACAGTTGGTAGAAGGATTGGTTGAAGGTCAATATAACGCAATATATTTATCATATTAGCTCTTGTTTCTTATATTTTTAAGGCGTCTGGAATTATAAACTGTTTTTCCTAAGAAATACTGTATATTAATTCAGTTTAATTCTTTGAATAAATGAATATCAATTTAAATCTTTTCTGTACTATGCTGATTGGATTAGAGCAAAATAAGAAAAATAAGATAACGTCACAAATGCTAAAGAAACTGAAATTCCTTTTACAGAATCAAGCATATCAGTTCTACCAAGTAACAAAATAAAATATTTTAATCAAATTTCACTTAAAATTAAGTAATATCTGTCATGACATACATGTATTATATCCGAAGGCTGGTAAATTCTCTGAGGCAACTGAATGGTATAACTTCTGTTTGCACCTAGCCAAGGAGAGTGAAATGGAATTAATTCTTAGTTTGCTGGTACGATGAATGTTGAGAGAATAAAATCAATAAAGCTGCTAATTATTTCTTCTTTAATCTCAGATTAATTTAAGCTGCTGTCATATCATGCGAAAAGAATTTAATGAGGTTAGGAGAATAATTCTAGTTGGTAACTAAGACAGACACTCGGCTACCATACAATGCCTTTCATAAATATAAAGTGCTACATCACAAACTTAATAGATTATGCTATATGCATACTGCTAGTTTCTACTGTTGCGTAACCAATCTTGAAATTATTTGCTCTTATTGATGCATTTAGGCTCAAAAAGCCGTTGATAAAGGAAAAAATATTCAGCCTAGCTGTCCTTTTATGTATTATCTAGAAGCCAAGATTGGATTAATGGCCAATGACAGCGAAAAAGGTTTTGTTACCTCTTTAATTGACTAAATAGTAACAAATTCTATCATCAATTAAGAAATTTTCTATGTTGAAACATAGTGATGAACGCGCTTTCAGATCTTGTGAATTTAGAAGTAAATAAAAAAGAAGATAAATTTGGGCTAGTTTGTGTTATACTGCAAATATCAATGAAGGTATATATATTTAGTATACACATATGTAGCAATTCTGATGAATATATATATACAATATTAAACGGTAATCTTCGGTAGTAAATTTTTTATTGCTTTACAATTATGACGCGTACTTTTTGTTTTATCAATAGCAAAATAGTTTAGACGTAGTGGGAAAAGCCTTACATTACTTGACGGCCTCAAACTCCTTGGACTATCAGAATTTAATAGTACTCTTAAAGTGAGTTTATGGATTAAAAGAATGCAAATAAATAAAAATAATGGCACTTTTATATTCATTTATCAAGCTTTGTTCTAGAGAATTTAGTGACTAAGTTTATATCACAAGATTACAGTATCGTAGCTCCGATTTTATACTTCCTTTGGTAGCCTGACCTTTTCGTGACCTCCATTTATTACAAGATATTATTTTTCATTAGATTTTATATAATGTTGCTGTTGAAAGCTAATTGGAGAATACGAGATTGGTAAGTTATGAAAAACAACTCAGATTTATAGGAGTTGACATTTTTTAATCGTATGATTATCTGATTTCATTATTTTAGCTGCGAGAATATTATTTACTGCTTTGATGAAGGTATACACTATGGCCAGGGTAGTAGTGTAGCTTAGTAAAATTACACTGAGTTTGTAGAATGATCTTATGATGATAAGGTGGCTTCTCTTAATGCTGTTATAGCTCATAAGATTATGCTAAATAGTCTTTCCAGCCAGAAAGTAAATTTATCTAATGATGCAGTCTGGTTCATGAAAGCAGGTTTGATGGTATATAAAATGTGTACGCTTGCACGTAGTTTACGTTATAACAAGAATTAAAATCTCACAATATAGCATGGAATATGGCATTGAAGAATCGTAAATTAGCCACAGTGGAACAACTAAATCGATATTTTGTTCTGTCGTACCAGGTAACCCATAAATTAATATGATATAATTAATGATATTCGTATGGAAATTTATACAGTTTGTGGACGAATAATGTTTCTTCTGGTCTTAGGATGATATATATAACGCTATTTTCAGTTTTCTACTTTCTGCCCAGAAACGAAGGTAATAGTTTCTCATCAGATGATATGCCTTATAATGGATGCTGCTACCAAATTGCGTTTTGTGAATGAGTCGCTACACAACAATATTGAAGAGGTACAATACTATATCGAAAGTTAGTACAGGATTTTAAATATCAGTGAAATTTTTAATTTCCTTTGATGTTACTAACGGATATAAAGTATACCTGTCGGTACTTTAGTATTTTTCGGAAAGTAATATTTGTTTTAATTGAAATTTCTTAGAGGCGAATGCTAGTCAGTATTACAGAGATTGGAACGAAATTTTTCCAGAATAGGCGTATTCTAACAAAACTCAATGATGATTTCGACAGTAAGTGAGATTAAAAGTGTGATGATTTTATGTTTAGTAAAACAGATAAGATAGATTTAATTATATTTTTGAAACTAAACTTAAGATGCCCTACATTGTACTTACCAATTTATCTATATCCAATCGCTAGAGGCAAATACTATATAAGCTTATGCCATTATTTTCAAATCTTTACTTTCAATTTACAGAATCGATGAAAAATTTAACGATCCTTATGTTGCTTTACGAAATTGAAGCTTTTGCAAAGCTTGATGACTTAGAAAACTTAATGAAACCTCTAGATACTCTATTAGATTTAAGCTTGGATGTTCCAGTTTTAAGCCATATTGCAGGTAAATGTTTAAGTAGCTGAACCTATATTCACTATAGTATTTACTCTTAAAATTGTATAGATTCTCGGTACATTTATCGCTATGTTTATTCTATTCTACAATATCAAATTTATTAATTATAATTTTCCCATTTCTAGCTATTATGCGAACTTTCGATCTATCCGAAAAATACGTAATCCCGCAATTAAAGATTTTAGACTGTATTTACCGACTGTGCTTACCAAATGAAAATGATAATGATAAATTCAAAAGCTTATGCATACTTCAGCGTTCAATCCTTACTTCCCTAATAGACAAGAACTTTACAGATATTAATATTTCTGATTTATTATGGAGCAAACTGAAGCAATTTTTGGATGTAGTGATTAAAAGACGAAAGGTAAAACTATTTTTTATGGCTCTTTATAGTTTAATTCATTGTATTCTATATTCCTTAGTAAGAGGTGTTACAATATACTGAGGCATTATAATTTGCTTCATTTGCTTCATTTCCTAATATTCTTTTCATCAGTAATTGTAATATACAGATATTGAATCTGAAGCAATTTGTCTTCTGTTGATATTTAATAAGCATTTTGCCGAAAAGGAATTAATTTGGTTCATAATAAAATGCTGGAATAAAGGCTGGGAGAGATTTGCGTACGTTGGATGTCAAACTTTGAGAATCAGTCGTTCATTTTAACTTTTAGTGAAAATTTTATCTTTGGTATTACTTAATCAGAATTTAGCTCTATATTTTCTCATTAAATTGAAAACATTCTAGTGCAATGAAATACAGAGATGGTGAAAAATGGTGCTCGGTCAGTATAAAAGTTTTAAATCTTTTGCCTAAATGCAACTATATCCTCAAGGGGAAGGTAATTGTTATGAATTCAAGACCTTGAAACGATTATTATTAGTACGAGTTTTATACGGCATTTCTATTTTGGTATGTTTATATAGATAATGAAATACTATCCAGATATTGTTTCGAAGATCGAGTAATGAATGATGGAGTCGGTAAAGAATTAAGAACCAGGTATGGCAATGCCAGGTGAAATATTGTCAAGCATCGAACTCGTGTAGGCTATAACACTTTACATATTTTCTGATTGATTAATCGCTTGATTCTGTCGATTTGCAATGAAAAAGCTTATTATACATAGAGTATCATTCATATTTACAAATTTGAAGGAAAGCTATCTTGGCGTTCTTTCAGTCTTGATGTATCGCGATATAAGGTGTAGTATTTTATGCAAGTGTTTATTCTGAACAGTTAATACTTTTTGTAGGCAGCTGCTACTTTATACTTAAAATTTATTTCGGAACATGTTCCGGATATGGGAACTTTACCTACTTAACATGTACACGAAAATGCGCATATGTATCTGTACATGTTACTGCATTTTTTAACACTTTCTAAATTGTAAAATCGTTTCAGTATTACACTCCTTGACTAGTAAAAACATAATGCTCTGAACAAATAATGTAATCATGACTTTATTATAAGTTTAACATCAACATTAGCATATATTCATATTCTTTACAGAAAGTAATCAATTTCTTATTGTCAGAATAGTTGCAAGAGTAAAAAGGTACCGAAAAAATGTAAGGAATTACTAACCGTATATTGGACGTATGAGTTANAGTAACAATTTAGTTTTTGAAAACCAAAAATGTTAA